AACAGCAAGTACCTAGATTTTACTGGGCACTCCCTTGTGTGCACCCCCCCCCCGCGCTATCAGCTGGTAAATTCACCCCCTGTAGCCGGGGAGCAAGACTGTTAAACTAGAGCCTCTCCTCTCCCCACACCTCTCCCCCACCCCCCGCTTTCCTGGTGCACCTAGCCTTTCCCCAGGGTTGTTTCTGCAGCATTGAACCAGCTGCTGGGCACTTCCCAGCCTGTCTCCCCAGGGGTGCGTTTGAATGTCCCTGCAGGGCAGCAGCTGGTTGGGAACAGGTTGCCAGCTGCTGTCACTCTGCTTCCAGCTCGAGATGGGAGGATCTGAGAGGTCTCACTGGGGAGGCTCAACCCAGGGAGAAGGGGTGGGGCGGGTTAGTGTGTGGGTTGATGCACTGGGGATGCTAATTGTGTGTGTCTTTCCCTTTGCAGGGGGTTTGGGAAGCAAGGATTCCAGTGTCAAGGTAGGTGCTTCACCTGTATTGCATTTCAGCTTGTTGTGTGTATGTGTCGGAAGGAGTCCCCTGCCACACAGGCCTGAGTGTGTGCGATCCCTGCCATGCTGTGCTGTGGGTGTTGCAAACAGGGGAATCTCTGGGCCTCTTATAGTGCATCTTTGAAGTTCTCAAATGTGGCTGGGAAAAGCCCTGGGGGAGCCTAGTGCTCAGGTTTTCATTGTGCTGATGTGAAGCCAGAGCAGCTCCCTGCCTGGTGGCTTATGCCCCGGGCTCTCGGAGTGGCCAGGGCTTCCCTTCATGAGATGTGTGCAGAGCATATAAGACAAGGCTGGGAAAAACAAAACCGAGAGCCCCCTCTGGTTAAGTAGCTTTAAGGTACTGACAGATACTGACAAAAGCCAGGAAGTGCGGGCGGATGGTGTGACTGGTGGGGAAGTGCAGTGACAGTGTGTCAGCCCAAACCCTCTGCTTCCCTTTTAGGTTATTTCTGTCTGTTGGGGGTGGTGTGGGGTGCTTGGTTGTTCCTTTTTGTTAATAACTTTCATTGATGACTTAATTAAAAGTGAGTTTCCCCAGCGTGCTGCAGTAACTCTGGTCTCAGCTGTAGCTTTACTCAGACAGGATAGGAGGGGACTCTGCAGCACTGAGAGTGGGTGTTGCCTACACCTCCATCCAATGCAAGCACATTGACCTGAGGCTGACTGCTGCTGAGGAGTGTGTGCTGGGTGGAGAACAGACTTGCACTAGGTGGCTATTGCTACCCCTGCTAGTGGACTTACAGCAGGTGTTTATCGTTATTGTTGTTACACCTAGTGAGATCCTAGTCCGTGACAGGAGCTCCCGTGTTAGGCAATGTGCAAAGAGACTTACAGTCTAAGTAAATGATATCTCGGCCGATGTCCTTTTCCCCAGACATCCCCCCCCCAACAAGTCTCTCCCCTCTACAGTCAGGTGGCTATTAATGCAGAATATGTATTGGATAAAGGGGTGGCTTTGCTCTTGGAGCTATTCCAGCCTAGCATGTAAATTACCACTTCAGGAATATTGTTATTGAAAGGGGTGTGGGTTGTGGGTGGATGATGGAATCAGGAATCCAGTCAAAATTTATGCAGAAGGTACAGTCACAGTGAAGTAGCTTAGTCATTTCCCCCCCTCCCCACTTAATATCTAAGGGATTGGTCAATGCTTTTAAACTGAGTGCTAGTCATGTTTCATCACTTGAAATACAAGTGAGGTCCAAGGAAAGCAGTGGAGATAGGTAAACTCACTTTTTATGTACATAACCTACTATCCAAACGTGTGGCTCATTGTGAACTAGCTATCAGCTGTCTAGTTTTGGGATTCTTGTTAACTATGCAGCCCTGAAGCACTTGAAGGGCTGAGTTAAACTGCTTGGAAAATAAGGCTTTATAACAAACCAACGAACACCCCCCTTTAACTCTAGGGTTGTTATAATCCGAACTCTCCATGTTTTGATAATGCTGGGGATTTTTTGTGTTCAGGGATTTATGATGTGTCCTTATTACATGAAATCGGTTTAGCCTGATTTTATACTTGGTGGCTGGCAGTTGTCACTTTATTTTTGATCTTTTTGCAGGGAAATACTTAAATACATTTAAGTATCATACATGCACATACAATGTAACTAGGTATTGGCTGAGGCAGTTTGGTTCAGATCTGCATCAGGTTGGAGACTTGTTTGAAGTCCAATCAGGGCTGTGATTTATATTTTTAATGGCACTGAAATCTTGTCCCCAAATATCCATTTTAACTGGTGGCTTTCTCTCAAGATCAGCCATTTTGCATGAGACTGAAGGCTCTGTGGAATGAAATCTCACAAGAACAGATAGTCTTGGCAGACTTCATTTGCATCAGAACTGGAAAACGAGCTCCATCAGACTTTGGAAGTGACACAGAAACAAAACTCGAGGCATGAGATCACTGTCTCGAGATTTGAACCCAATCTGACACCTGTCTCTACAACACCCCTGGAAGCCAGGGAGTTTTAGAGGAGCGGTTTTATTATGGCCCATTTCTGGACTATAACAAAGGTTGCAAAATACTGCAGTAAGCCTAGTTCTAGTGTCCAAATACACTTGATGGGATCACTGCAGAAACTCTCCGAGATGCCAGGGTTCTGGAGATCATTCCCAATAAAATCTACTTGTAAGAGCCTAAATCATGCTGCCTTTCACTCAGAGGTGCATAACATCTGCCACTTATGTGACGGGTCTGTCTGTCTTAAACTAGCAAAACCAAAGAAACTCAGAGCTCAGACTAAAGGCCCGGGCTGACGTAGCCTTCGTGCCTGCTTTTCTCTGCGTGCCAGAAAGTCGTAGTGGTGGGAGTCAAGGTCAGTGTCTCGCCAGGGATCTGTAGCCTTCGCTCTGAGGATTTGTACTTGATTTTAGAGTCACTCATCAGGTTACTCCGGTGGCGTGTTTTGTGGCTTAGCCTTGCATAGGGTGACCAGATGTCCTGATTTTATAGGGAGAGTCCTGATATTTGGGGCTTTTTCTTATATAGGCTCCTATTACCCCCCCCCCCACCTCTGTCCAGATTTTTCACACTTGCTGTCTGGTCACCCTAGCCTTGCAGCAAGTGCTTCTCCCTCACCCCCCCCCCCCCCCCCCCTGGCCTGTGTTATACCCAGCAGCGAGGTCGAGTTTACCCATTTCTCATTTGGGGAACATGGAGTTTAGGTTAGGTTCATTTACCCACTTCATTTTGCACCACTACACCACTGGCTAAGCCCCTGTGCTACCCACGGAATGTTAGTGTTTCTGCTGTGAGCAGTAGCCTGGTCAAAAGTGTCCATCGAATTATAACATAATTGAGAGTCAAAATCGAATAGAAAAGAGTCAGCTTGGACCATCGATCCGCCGTTAATGCAGAATCTCTTTCCTGCTATGTAACGTCTAGTGCTTTGTTGCATCCTGATTCCTACCTGTGATGCTCAGCAGCAGACAAATTTTAAGGTTTTATAGTCTCTTTTGGAGCCATTTGGAAGTATTGACCAAACCTGTAACTGAGCACTTGCTCCAAGGTTTAAGCTGTATGGTTGTAACATACAGTGTGGGGTTAGCCAACAGGGTACATAAAAAGACTGTCTCAGAGTTGCAAACGCACCGCAACTGACCTTCAAATGTTGCAAACAAACCCTCCCCCCACCCTACAAACTCTTAGGTGGGACCTCCAAAACATCTGGGGGATGTCTGCACTGCACTGCGTTTGCAGCTCTGAGTCTCGGAGCCTGGCTCAATTGACTCAGGCTGGGGCTGGGTGACGTTACTGCTCGGGCTGCAGCCCTGGTGCTCTAAAATCCAGCGAAGGGGGTGTATCACAGAGCTCAGGCTCCAGCCCAAGTGGGAACGTTGACACTGTTATTTCTAGCCCCTGGGCTCTGAGACTTGGTGCCATGGGTTTTTCTTCACATAAGTAATGCAGATGCACAAGTCATAAGAACATAACATAAGAACGGCCGTACCAGGTCAGACCAAAGGTCCATCCAGCCCAGTATCCTGTCTGCCGACAGTGGTAAATGCCAGGTGCCCCAGAGGGAGTGAACCTAACAGGTAATGATCCAGTGATCTCTCTCCAGCCGTCCACCTCCATCCTCTGACAAACAGAGGCTAGGGACACCATTCCTTACCCATCCTGGCTAATAGCCATTAATGGACTTAACCTCCATGAATTTATCCAGTTCTCTTTTAAACGCTGTTCTAGTCCTAGCCTTCACAACCTCCTCAGGCAAGGAGTTCCACAAGTTGACTGTGCGCTGCGTGAAGAAGAACTTCCTTGTATTTGTTTTAAACCTGCTGCCTATTAATCCTGTTGACTCAATAGGATTTAACCTCCTAAGTCACTTAGACATTCTTGAAAATCCCACCCCGGTCTGTAAAGGCTCCTCCTTGCCTTAATAAGCCACCCCCTGAGATATTTCAAGTTACGAGCATGCAGAAATCATTGTCTTGTATTCGAGTAGTACTTAGAGACTCCAAACAGATCACAGGCTTCACTTGGCAGGGCGCAGCATAAACATAAAATAGGCAGTGCCTGCCCCCAGATTGCTTCCCAAATCATTAAACTTCTATGGGATTTTAGTTTTTATGTCCCTTGGTAAAGTGTTTTGAGATCTGTGGATGATAAATCTTCTCGGAGGTAGTAGAATTAAACTTAATGATTAAACTGCTGAAACTTAGTAGCAGTGGAACTAATCTTTATCAGAGTCAAAACCTCTTCCACCATGTACACTAAGTTTAAAGAGACACAATCTATGTAGAATATTTTTAGGTTTGAGATTGAAGGCATAGAATAACTTGATGTGCCATCTGCCTTTAGACCACTGATCGTCCACAGAAAACTCCAGGAGGGGTTATAATTTCTCCCATGGCAGGAAGAAAGAACTGAGGATCCCAGGCCTGGAATCATAGGGGCCAGTCCCTTTCCCCCCAGAATTGATCTGTATTAAATCTTGATCATTCCCACCCTCTTACCTGTCAATCTGGTGCCAAATTGGTCATCTTGTTTCAGGAGGCTAGGACAGTGCCTAACACTGGGGGTTTTGTTCATATTTGGCTCCTCCTCCAGTCAGGTGTCCTAGGATACACAGTATTGGCTACTTCCACCTTTTCATGTTCTCTGTATGTATGTATATTTCTTACTATATGTTCCATTCTATGCATCGGATGAAGTGGGTTGTAGCCCACGAAAGCTTATGCTCAAATAAATTTGTTAGTCTCTAAGATGCCACAAGTACTCCTGTTCTTTTTAATAAATGCATTATTTCTAAATGGAAGAAACTATCCATAATGCAATTCTCATTGGTGAGAGGCCTTTCATATTCTGAAATTATTCCATATTGTATTGTTTTAGTATCAAGCAACAACTTTGACTCTGTGAAGTTCTTTAACTTCATAAAGAATCTCCTGCAGTAGCTGAGAACTGAAGGGCAGTTCACGTCTATCGTATTCTATCTGGGTCTCATCTTGTCGGTGGACATGCAT